AAAAAAAAAAACAGTGTATAATGTTCTATTTTCGCTGAATATAATTATTCTGTTCGCGAAAAATGAAGGAAGACTTGTTCGTGTGAATGGAAATGGGTTGCAATTTAACATATTCCAAACGGTATGTACTTACCAATTCATATCAAATTGCCCAACATACTGTAAAATAGCAAAATGACAACTTGAAACATAAAGGAAGAAGAAGTCTTAGCATTTCATCTTAAAACTATCTAAATTATATGAAACGTATATCAACTTAAAACTATGTCTCTAAATCGTAATGATAACAATTTGTAAATATTATAACAATCCGTAAATAGGAAGCAATTGAAAATGAAGCCAATGCAATAGAAGTTCAATAAATACAACGAGAATTAATATTATCACATGTTGACCGGCACATTTTGTGAACAGCCTGTTGAAACTTGCGGCATTGAGGATGATTGCATTGAATAAGCCCAGTGACACTTTTGCAATTTACCATCCCATCTTTACGTATCTTATGATTTCAAAGACAGCTGTAAACAAAAAAATATAAGAAGCAAATAACAACAAAAAAGGTGGGAATGTAGTTGAAGTGTGCCGCCCTTTTCTATCCTCGCCTGCGCTCTCTCGCTGAGACAGTATTCTATTGGACAATTCCTCTTCCAGTCCAACTTTTCGCATTTCCCAGTCCCTTCCTTATGCTTGGGCAAAGATACCCCTCCTTTCCGCTGGCTCATATTCCTTCTTGAGCGCCACTACGGCCCCTCATCTTTATCTGGCTCTCGTGATTAATATTACAGACACAAGGAACAGTGGATGGGTTCCCTTGGACTACGTTTTCACCGCATATGATCAAAATTTGGACACCATTCGAATGAATCGGTTTTCGCCGAGCCCAATCTACCCCTTTACGCGCATGGATCTGTTAATAAGTAAGGACACGGAAAACGTAAATTTCAGGACAGCCGTAGAACTGCTGTATAGGTGGGACAAGAGTTTTAATATTAAAGGATTGATTAATGTTGAAACTTACCATCCCTTACCACTTGGAGCGGACCTATCGTGGTAAAACCCCATGGGCTAGACTATGATACCGTAACCCTCATCTGACCACTCAATACTTAATACTTTATCGGATTTTAACGATAATTAGAGATGTTCGAACATACCTGACCCACACACCACGAACACGAAAAGTCCGATAAGCCATGGAGCAGCTGGATATTTGTCTTCTTGGGGTTTCTAAACAATTGAAGACTAAATAGATACCAGTACGTGAACATGCAAGAAATATTCATAGCATAATAGGGAGCAATGATCAACTTCAGTTTCCAGATTCCATTCGCTAGTGATTCACTATAATGATGACACATTCCGCAGTGGGGAACGAGAATTTTAATAAACTATTTAGTTGGACAAAAACTTGTAAGCCAAGCGGAGGTCTCGAAAATAGATGGGCTGGTAACTATTGAGGAAGGGTTGAATGGATTTCAACGGACCACAAATGCATAAGTTATAACCAAAAAGTCATACTGTTAGCCTGAAGAATCACCGATGTCTTCGAAAGGCTTAAAATTAGCGAAGGAATTATTCACGTTCTTTCAGAAAATAGGTATAAAGGCTAGTCTGTTTCCTTCTTTACTTCTAATGAAATATGCATCAATGCAGACGCTCTCCAAATGGTATTTTCGGTTCAGAAAGCCTCTTAGAGAGTTAACGTCTTGGGAGGTCTCCCAAAAACATGGTGGCTGCGGGCATCCGCATTCTTTTACAAAGATGACTAATCTTAATGAATCTTTGCAAGTGGGCTCTGGTCAGTAAGAGAAAAGAGCGGGAAGGGTCGAATAGCTCCCCTAAGTAAATTTAGCGGTGAATAAATGGAGCTATGGCAGAATGCCATAACAACGTAGTACATGAAAGGGGTAGAAAATCGAAACCGGAAGCTGAAAAACGGTTCATATTGATCCCAGACACTTCGACCTCCTGGAAACCACTGTGAGTATCAGGTCTAAGGATGCAGTTGAACTAAGAATAGGCGAAAAGACAACAAATAAACGGATTAACCTACCAAGGATTTCGCGACATTTCCACGGTTGACGACGTTTTTACTGAATTGTGAATTGGCAACGGTCATACGCTGTTTTGGGGCCATCACTGAAAGAAATACTTGAGATATCTCGTGTCTTTCTCGGGGCAAATTGTTACAACGACATGAGATTGATGTGATTTATCATGGGAAAGTTAAGGGTGTAGAAAAGGCGAACAGGAAGAAGTACAGGGAACAAAATTGGAAGAACGGAAGCGAACTGGGACCGAACTAATGGAACGCCCACGTCCGTCCGATATGACTTACGGCAGAAATGTGAACACTATTTGCGAAGCCCCTCAATACTGGGCTATGCATATGTGGCATTGATCACGAGCCCAAGATTACGATAGTGTGGGCGGAGTTGTTCTATACTACGGTATTTGGCGAGGCGGTGCTCTGCGTGGCGTGTATTAACACACTGCGAGGTCTTGCACCGAGTGAGAAACTCGGACACAATCATTTGGACGAGTTGCCTGATGCATCATGGATATTATTCTTACATTTACCTACGTGATAAATGCAATGTGGTTTTAAATAACTTTCGATCTGATCGTACGGTGAGAATGTGGGAATAGAAATGTTAGCGGTTCCATCATTTATCTCTGCTCAAACTGATTTTCATCTTAATTTAATCTTGTTTTGTTTACTTGTTTTGTTACAGGTCTCCATACATTCTTTAACACTTGATGCTAGAAAGATCTTATTTCATCGAGTGCCACTACTTTGTAAATTTTTTTCCTTCAATTATGAAGAAATGGTCATTTTTTTGTGAGGTTTTCCATTTATGTCCATTCCAAGAGCATATGCAATACTCAGAGGAACTAGAATCAGCTCGAAGGTTTTCCTCCGGTCTGGTCTGTCGGAATCGGGTCGCACACTACCTTTTTTTTGGATTCACCTTTAAATGTTAAGGAATTTTATTATAATTAAGGACTTGCTATCATAATCCGTCTTAGTGACTTTGATCTATAAAGTTAATGTTTGATTCCTGCCAGGAATTGGGATAAGTTCTGTTCACAGAGGGAAAATCTCGACAACATCCAGTAACTGCAGGCTTTCCAAAATTCTCAAGCATATGGTTTATAGGGTATCTACCTGTTTTTCATGTCTAGCTGTTTTTCAAAGTGCTTTGTATTATAAGCAGGTTCCTGATTATTTTATGGTCAATATACGGCTAAATAAGTATTTCATTTATTGTGAAGGAAAAAGGAAGTGATATTTTTCTAAATTAAACGCAATTATTTAGTTGCAAGCCTAGTGATATAAACTAAATAAAAGTATGCAGGACCTCAACATAGTTCTGGCACTTCTCTACAAGTTGATACCGCGCTCGAAGAACTCGTCACTCCTCCATTGAGGCGGTCAGTCATTTCTCAGAGTGGGTTGTTGAAGTAGCAAAACTTTGTTGCTGAGGAAGTACTTTAGCGATTAAAAGAAGTGGGAATGGGGCTGTGTCTGGAGTACACGGAAAATGGTCGGTGGTACTGTCTTCGTACTCGTAAAGTAATTAGTTGCTGTGCAATGCTAATGTCGGTACAAGCGAAATCGACTTCGGAAAAGCTCTATTTTTTTACTTTGTCATTTTCAAATGGCTTTCAGACCATCGCTTTTACTTATGTTATATCTATGCGGCAGGACGTGTTTAACGCTATCGTTCGATTAGGCTAATTCTTGGGCTAAATGAGGTTATCAGTTGGAGGCCGGTTTCCTCGCTTTGCTTTTCGATTTTATACTATATTCTAATATAGATCCACCTATAACTAACACCGGCTTCAAGGGAAATTCTTCGACGTGGTCAAGCTTTTGCGTCTTTTTGTATCGTCCTGAATTCTTTTGCTTTTTTCGCTTTATTGTAAAAGAGACCCTGAAGTTAGGTCGTGCTTAAGTGCTGTATTACAGGATGGCTGTGAACGAAGAGCAGTCTGTCGAGATGGAAGTTCTGGAGTCAATCTATGGAGCTGACAGTAATTTCAAAGCGATCGATGGCAATCGTATACAGTACAAGTTCGGTGTCGATACCCCTAAGAGTTTTGTGGTTGAAATTGAATGGCCGCCAGAATATCCCGAAGTTCCTCCTAAAATCAATATGGACGTTTTTTACAACAGTAACATCGCTGACAGTGTCCGGCAGCAGATCAAAAGTAAGGTATTGGAAGTGGCGAAGGAGAATGAGGGTATGGCCGTAACGTTCACTCTGATCGACTACATATCAACGAACCTTGAAGAACTGACGTCCAACTGGGAGATCAAGCAGGTTCAGCCTGAAGTCGAACCAAAAGCTGACGATCGGCGAGCCGTCAGGGACGAGCCCCTCACGAAGGCCGCCAAAAGACGTCTTTGGGATCGCAATGAGGGTACGGCTAAGGAACGAGGGTCCGATTGGGTCGATATTCTGAAACATCTATCCCAGGTCTAGATGTCCCGAATTTCTGAAGGGAGGTGTTTTCGAGAATAGATTCGTTTCAGATGCTCATTTCTTCCCGAGTTTATATCGCTAGTATTTTTAAAATTATTGTTTGGCTCATTTAGGACTATCTCTTTTTGAAAATGTTGATAAGGTACGTGAGTTTGATAGTTTTTTTTCCTGGGTAAATCGATGCTTTCTCTCTTTATACTTGTCTTTGGTTGTGTCTTTATTTTGCGGTGATTTTTGTTTACCCCGTAGTCCTTGTGATATTTCTACCACGAGTAAATGCTGTGGTATACAGAAGTTTTTTTTACCGGTTATCGATTTCGACATTTGATTACTTTGTTACGGAAATTATTGATCAGTCAATGCATTTAAGGGTTAGCTCTAGCCATGATGCATGCTGCCAGTATTTTGGTGATGTGTGGGCGGGTACGTGCGATCGATTTTTGTAATTTTCGGGTTCCGTGAGATCGATATTCTTGTGCAATTTTTTTCGTTCCCTGTCCAATGTCAACATTAAGATTCAGAGAAGTTAGATGTATTCGATCTTTGAACGAAGATGTCCCTCTCACATCGCCTTCGATGGTATTTTTAATGAATTGCTATTGAGTCTTCAAGTCCTGACACAGACGCGGTGCGACCTACGCGCGGCTATGTTGCGCTGCAGAATGTTTTCTTGATTTCTTGTTAGACGATACAATTGTTATCCTTAAAGTTGTTATGTTGCATGAATCAAATTCCTTGTTTCAGTATTTAATAAATTTATTTAATTTTGGTTGCTTATATTTGTAAACGTGTATAAAAGCACGGATAGATATTTTTTTCTTCAACGTCACGTTAGTAAGAGATGGTCTACTTCGTTTGGTGATATTCAAGTGGGATACTAAACATTCGTTTTACTTTTTGCTTCTTTGCGAGTGCTGATGGATTTTAAAATGGAGCGCGTTACCATGCGCCTAGCTTTATTCTCGCCTAGCTTTAAGCTCATAAATCGTCGGGCCGGTCTGAGTTGCCCTTCTCTAGCGATTAAGTAATCTTTCGTGCCAGCGGTGATTTCGTACTTTTAAGCAGTTTGGAAGGAGCAGGGTATTGCAGGTCATACTTTGTTAGGCTATTTGTGAGTTTTATCGGTTTTAGTTTAGTTTGGTAAGTATTATTACTTGTCCTTGGTGCATCGTAATAATGGGTGATGCCTAAGATAAGATACCTAGAGCCTCTATCTGCGAACTAAATGACCCGTTATCGATTTCCTTTTACCGGCATGTTGCTGCCACTGTATTTTGTGTCTGCGCCACAGAGGTCTTCGGGAATAGTCTAGCAGGTCTAGGGATTGGTTTGTTGTGTGGGCCAAGTTTTTCTGTCAGGACCTTATTATGTTGGGAATGAATGAAGTATGTAGCAGCTTGAACACGATTAATAGCTCTCAGAAGTTATCGAATCGTAGGTTTCGTTCTGTCAGAAATTTCCGCGACAGGCTGAGCTCGAGAGCAGTACTGAGAAGGTGCTTGTAATTAGTAAATTGGTAAGTTTATCGGTCGGTCCTGTACCATCACAATTTCCGCTTCGCTCATCCCAGAAGCGTTCGCTTGCTGTGAGTCGATATGACCAACTGATTTCACACAGTGAAATGTGGATGGTTCTGCCTACAACTATGCTGTCCTCATACCCGTCCTCCTCACTGCCTGAATACTTTTTTCNTTTCATCGAAAATTAAAATTTTGAGTTTTTGGGGGTGTAATAGTAGAATAGTGCCCTTTTTTCTATTCCATGTTTTGAATGACATTCTTTGTTAGTTAAGTCGTAATTGCCTGATAGAAATGTCAAACCTGTTCTGCACCTCCGTGTATTCGCCTTTGCTCGATTGAATATTAATTATGATGCATGAATTCTTCTGGAGTGATTCGGGTAATAAAACTTGTATTGCAGATGTATAGTGCGAAATTACTGATGAGGGGTTTGACGTCTAGAATGCGACATGTTTGTGTACAGTTGAGCGCTAGAGAATCGAGCACCGCTCCAGAGTACGTCGAATCGGACCATCAGGTACACTTCTTACCGTTTTCTCGTCCTCTTCATTTCCGATTTTTCGATAGGCCCTCTTGGATCCTAAGAACATTCTGAGTTGTTGCGGTTCAAATATATATTTTATATTAATATATTAAAGCAGAAGATCAGCACCGGAGAGGGCACTAGTCAATCTGGTCGTCAAGGTGATAAAGATAAGGAAGCCTTGCGTGAAACCAGAAAACGCATCAAGAGATGGAGAGCCCGAAATGCTTACTTACCAGATGTGAGATCCGATACAAGTAATGTATTGAATACCTATTTTCACTCATTATCACTGATTTCTTAGACCCCTGACGAAGTGAGTGAGGATCCATCTGCAGATGGTCTTCGGCGAATCACAGAGGTGGAGTTCATCCAGAAAGTCGAAGAAGAGGAGCGTGAGTGGGCTGAACGTGCTGAGGACTTGATGTCAAATCTCACTTTCGTATCAGCGGACGAAAAAAGCGCTGCTACACCCTACCCGGTAAGGCTATTTTCTTCTATTTATTTATTTTTTGCATATCTTTTCGTTGCTATTGCTATTATTGTCATAATCTCTACTGTAAATATAAAGATAGCGCTGTTTGGAGGATTATTTTTCACTGATGCAATGAGTACACCACAAAGATACCACGAGGCATAAGCACAGATGGGCGTGCGGTTGAGACTTTGACGCTAAATTGCTTAATCGCTTGTTGTGGTACAGAAATTAATTCAGAAAAAAGTGGTTCGACTCATTGTAAACCATTCTAAGGCTATTTCATTGAAAATGGCGCTTTTTCATCATTTTAATAATTACTAAGAAGGATTTCACAGTTACTGTATACCTCATATGTGTTTAGCCAAAATGGATGGAGTTGTCGCCTGAGCAATTGGAATTGAAACGAAAAACTGGCAAAACGTTTTTTCGTTCAATAATCTACAACGAGGGTGAATTACAAGGATCGGATCTCAACGCGCCTCCTTCACCGTGAGTTTCCTGCTGGCGTTATTTCATAAGGTCAGATCTATCGGTATTGATAATTGCCAGAAATCGTGTTTCAGATCTAATCCGCATCCATTTGATCCATCAAAACATGCCCCTCCAGTATACAGTCGAACTGTTGTTCCGTTCGTCAATCACTCTCCGTTATTACAAGCACTTGCAGACATCGGTATGAACCTGTTTGAGGTAGCTGTTTGCTTTTGATTACTTCCAAGAATACTGACTAACTTATAAGGTATTGAAGCATGTGAGAATTTACTAAATTGAAGGTGGAACAAACGACCCGAGCAGCTAAACATATACTGCGTCTTGATATGCAGAAAGAGGTGAAACCCAAGGTAAGGATTGTTATCCCTGCTTTCCTCTTGTCTCTGGAAAGTATCAGCTCTATGTAGCATACCCGTTTTAGCTCCAATGGCTTCTATCACTTGGCTTTGAAGTTAGCGACTTGGGCGAGTATCTTACGCGGAATCCCTTCTTCCTGCTGCAAGATCTCAGCGATATGCAGGTATATTTCTGAAAAAATTCACTTTCCACTCAACGTTGTTAAAGTAGGTAAGCGACAGTCGGGGCGCTTTTATGGCTGACTCGACATTTTTGCTTGTATCATGGCCCATAACACAGTTTTCTTTCGCTCTTCATGATTTTAATTCGCATTGCATATTATTAACTGATAAAAGAAACTTTTTCCGTAGCTACACTTTTTTTGTAGGCGCGAGTCAATTATTTAACATCGATGAAATTTTCCAATGAAGATGTCTGCAAAATTATTAAGGACTTCAGGTAAGTTATCAACAAAGGCTCCACTCTGTCACAGTTACTGGTTTCCCCTTATAAGAGTGAGTTTTTTCTAGGTACTGGTTGAATGTGGACGTGAAAACAATGGATTCTCGGTTAGGATGGATACAGCAGCAATTCCATTTACGCGGTGATGAAGTGCGGAACCTTATTCGCAAGGAAGCTCGGGTTCTCATGTTCGGTTTAGGGCCACTGCAGGTGAGATCTATCAATTTGTAATATCCATGTGGTTGTATATATCTAACGGCTTTCTGCTTTGTGAACGGCTATTTTCGTTTTTGGTTCGTTGTGAGTCTCACTGTTCCATCTATCACCACACTCCACTTTCATTTACCACGTTTATTTGGTTTTGACAATACCCTAACTGTATCTAAAATATTGTAGAAAGCATACATAGCATTTTTACTATCTAGTCAATTGGTTTTTCTGTTTATCTTGACTATCTTCGAAGCTTAATCTCTCTTCCCTATAATCCTTTAATATTACCACATGTTTTGATAATTATGTTTGCAGCGACTTGTCTTGCTATTCAACAAGGAGTTGGAATTTACACCGAGCGAAATGAAGAAAATACTGCTGACTGATCCACGAGTATTTATGATGGGTAGGTTCTTTATCATCATTTTTTTCCCACGGTTTCTTCTTGTGAAGTTCTCATCAGGCACTGCTGTATATTCACCAAAATATACTCGTTTACCCTTCTTGCCAAGGTCCATCCAAGGTAGCCATGCTCACACCAACGAAAACTTCAGAGTTAAGCAAAGTTAGTGAACAAATCTCGGGCGCATCGTCCCTGGCTACTAGTCACAGTCTACGAATTTTCTGGGATTGTTTCGAACTAGTTGGAAATCATTTTAAAAAATAAAACAATGCAAATAGTCCTGTTTGCAGCTTGAACTGAGTTTTTTTCGTTTCATCTATTTTGTTTCCATAACTTTGCCTCGCCCTGTATAATTTTATGGTTTCGATTTTACAAGAGTTTATAGGAGAGTTTTTTGAACAAAAAGTATCTGTTCAGAGAGATTTTAATCACTACAGGTGTCGGACTAATTACTTAATGTTTCAGATCCGAAATTCATAGTGACAAATTACCAATACCTCCATCGGATCATGCGTCTTTCTAATGCTATAATTGCTGAACATCCTCTTATTCTTCGTTGCTCACATAGTAGTATTCGAAACAGGTATTTTTTACTTTTCTGTACTACTATATCTCGTCTTTTTTTTGGGAAGACCTCTTTGTAAATAAGGTTGTTCTGTTACAAGCTTTATGTGGTAATGATTATGTTTCTAGGCACGAGTTTTTGAAGAAACTGGGAAAAGCCGTGTATGAGGGTGCTATTGTAGACGAGAAGGTGGAAACTCCTCCGATAGAGAAGGATGATTGTAAGGTGAGCGCTTATGATCTTTGTTTTCTCAAGAGTATGATCTTGATTGAATCGATTGCTAGCCGGTACCGATAGAAGTCTTCTTGGATCCTAGCGATGAGGTTTTTGTACGAAAAGCAGCCAACACGTATCTAGCCGTCTATAATAACTTCCTCCGAAACCACTAAAGTGCGTTTTTGATACTCATGTTCTACTTCTTTTATAGATTTCTCTGTTATAGTCGACGTTTGACAGAAAGTAATTTACTAGAAATACGTGTTCATTACTACTGTTTTACGAGATACCTGTGATTGATACACTTTTCTCGAACTTATGAATCCTTGTCTGTCTCTCAAAGCAGCATCATTCTGGGGCTCATTACTTGCTGATTAGTAGAGATTCGGTCCCTTTTCAGAGTGTAGCGAGTTACATAACTAAATTACAGGGTAATAAGTCGTTATGCTGTTAACAGTAATTTATAGATCAATATTTAATAGGTTATCTTGAGGAATCGTGTTTGACTGTCTAGAATCGCTCACTGGGAAATGGACGAGTCATCATACTGTGTCATATTGTAAAAGTTTCTCATTCGCAAACGAATTGGTTTGCTCTTGTTGAAAATGTACAGACTTGTTAGGTAAGTTAGAGTTATGATGTTTGTTGAGTTTCT